CAGGCAGCAGGGCAACGGCGGAGCGCAAACGAGAACGTCCACACATCCAACACGGAGCAAAGCAGCACATGACCTGTCTCTTATACACATCTAGATGTGTATAAGAGACAGTTCCTAAGTTGCACTGAGCCAGCCACTCCCACTACCAGTCTCTTTTTTTTTTTCTTTTTTTTTTTTTTTTTTTTTTTTTTTTTTTTTTTTTTTTTTTTTTTTTTTTTTTTTTTTTGAATTTGCTCCGGTCTATTGGTGGGGAGCAGCACCTGGTGGAAAACGGGTCCAGCGTTCCACTGAACATCAGAAGGCCTGCCAGCATTGATTGCCCTGTTTCCAGTAGGGATTAACTGCACAGAGTTAATGAAAAATGTGTCTTGATCTGTGTGGCGTTGTTGATGAACCCGTGTGTTTCTTGTGGGTTTGACTTTGAACGCAATGGGACAGATCATGGGACCGAGCGGCAGTGGGAAGACTTCCTTGTTGCGGGCAATCGCGGGACTCTGGCGAGCGGGCAAGGGGACGATTCGGCGACACATAGCCGTCGATGATCCGTCCAATGCACGACGACATAACGAGAGCGGTTCGACGAGCGAGGTCGCTGGCGATCGACAGCTCGCAGCCGCACGCGTTCTCGACCCATCGAGAGCGGAGGCTAAGAAGGGAGAGGCGGATCGTCGAGAGAGGGGGTCGGAAAGGAGAGAAAGCAGCAGCTCAAGAGGACTGGTGTTCTTCCTTCCTCAGAGGCCGTACATGGTTCTTGGGACCCTTAGGCAGCAGCTTCTGTACCCCACCTGGAGCAGTAATCCTACGTCCAAGGGGGACGAATCTTTCTCAACAATGCAAAGTATTTTTTCAACGGCAAAGGGAAATGACAAAGGTGAGCGGCACCAACCGGCCTACTACCTCTGTTGGTACAAACACCCCCTAAACTATTGAAATATGAATTAGACCCAAGTTCAAGTCCAGATACCTTCAGAAGTTCAGATGAATCTGATGAAGAGAATAAGCCGGTCAGTTCCAGGATGATATCTAAAGGTCGTCGCCCTTTAAAGAGACAAGTGGACCCCGCCACGGCTACGCCGTGGCGCACGGCAACACTCGCCGATGGCGTCTCATTTTCGTTTCATG